GTTACTACCACAAGTATAATGTTGAGGTATGCCCAGAAAAAACGTTTATAGCCCCGCCCTGTATGAGAGACCGGCCATTATTTACCTCCTCTGACAGCGAGACCGGTCAATGTTAGAGTCCCGGCCGCTAATGGAATACAGGCCAATATTAGAGAATTTACGGTAATTATCTCATCATTTGATTTTGATAGCTGGGGAAAATATGGCAATATATAGTGATACTGCAATATCGTGATAATATTGTATCGTGACCCAAGTATCGCGACATGTATCGAATCGCAACACTCATGCCAATACTCACCTTTAGTATAAAGCCACATCCACCCAGCAAAGTATTCAACTTTAGTCATCTAAAACTTTTCCCTGTTAAAGTCCAGCATTAATTATGAGGCAGATTCTTCTTGTTCCTTTTTAATGTTTATTTAATATTCTAAACTATTTTTAAATGCTTGTGATGTGACATCAAAGAGCATATAAACATGTTTCTGGCATGTTTTTGCCTGTTTAAAGGCCACAAAGGATGATTTGCAAATGCCAAACTAAACATAAGTGAAATATTTTATTGAATATATGCCAAAGAAAATCACAAACTAGTTACCCTTAAGTGGCTGGAGTTTAAAACAAATACATTTTGTTTTATAATTTCCTTTCATGAATGTTACATTATAAAATTTTAGATTTGTTATCTTTTCCCTACTGTGACGCAGGAATGCCATGTAAAAGCACTTTAAATCTAAGTCTGTTCAGTCAGTGATTGAAATATTTGGACTGCTTTGGATCAATGGTTGCAGGCTTGGGATACCACAAACTTGATAAGATAAGATTTCTTTTAATCAATAAGTTTAATGCAGAAAAGGCAGCAGGAACTTTTAAAACTCGGGACAAACCCATCAACTCCGCTGAAAAAGAGTTTTTACAACATCTGACCCAGACAGGGTAGATCAGTAGTGAGAGGAGGGAGTTTGTCAAACTGTACTCTGGGGCTGAGACCTCACAGACCTGAGGTCACTTTAGCTCCGTCTGGAAGCATGCAGCGTCACATTTCTCTCTGCAGTCCTAAAATCTGCAGTAAAGGAAGAGAAGGAATCAAATCCAGCTTCACAGAAGAAACCACTCTAGAAATACATGAACAACCTGCACTTAAACACACATTTAACCCATGCATCGCCAATCCATACACACATTTGGCTAGCTGGTGTCTCCAAGAAAACACATCTCTGATCAGCGGCAGCATGTAGTTTAGGAAAGCTGGGTTAATGACGTGTGAAAACGGAAATCCCACAATGTGGGTGGACGCTAACAAACACTCATGGAGCAACAGGAGAAGAGCGTTGCCTGTGATCCTATCAGACTTGGAGAATTTTAATTCAGACCAAACTCTCAGCAGAGAGCAGTTAAGGAGAAAAAAAGCAATGAATTAAGTTTCCTTTAAACATATAAAAACTCAAGAAAGTGTGTGGTTTCTAAAGGAAGGTGCAGCCTCAGAGCTGCAATAGAAGATGATTTTTAAGACATCAGGAAAGAGTTTAACTTGTTTGTCCACTTTAAATGTGCATAAAATAGAGGCACAGTGTTTTGTTTGGGTGTATCAGTATGCTACACATGGAGCAGGCCGCAACAATGGTAGAGGAGAGGGGCTTTTTGGCAGTTTCTAACATACTGTTACATAAAGGCCCTTTCGACTGATCTCTCTCCCTGGAAATCTACACTTTTAGGGCTCTTAAATATTTACCTTCAATACCTGAAAGAGAATACCTTCCAGCTACAATCGATGCATCTTTAAGGATATGCAGCTTGAAGCCTGCCGTATACACACACTCTCATCTTACCACTGCATACAAACAAACACAGGAAGGTGGCAAAGAAGAGCCTACAAAACAAAAAAGAGGCAACAAAAATCTATTTTTTGCAGTTTTGCCCTTAAAAACTACACATTTCTATATTTTTTTGGTATATTATGTACTAAATGGATGTGAAATTGTGAATTGGAAGGAAAATTATACACAGTGTTTTTTGTTTTGTTTCAATTTAATAATTAGAAAATTGTGAATTTTTATTGAGCCCTTTTACTCTGATAGCACCTCAGCCACCTATCTGCTGAAGTCATTTAATTAGTAAAAAGACTCCACATCCATCTTCAAACCAACTTTTGTTCCTGCAAAAAAAAAAAAAAAAACGAATATACACAGGGGTTAAAATTAAGGATTTTTACCACTTGCCCAAAGGGCAAGTGGCTTTCACATTTCATTTGCCCAGAAACAATTTTTACTTGCCCAGTATAATGTTTGATAAATATAGTTCCTAATATTCATTTTTGTATATATATATCAATGAAACATGTTTGTTTTTTAAATGTTTTTTTGTCATTCAGTAAGTTTACAGGTTCCTGGTGTGTATATGCATGCGTCAGATAATGAAGTCAAGCCTACATTACTGTGTTAACATGCTTTTCAATCCTTCCTGCACATTCTTTTCAAACTAAACTTTGCTTTAAACTGTTGTGTGCTTGGAAAAATATAAAATGTAATGTTAAAAATCTAAAAAAAAAAACTTGACAGGTTAAAAACTTACACTACTACTACTCATCAATTTAACATGTTTAGCTCCATAAAATTTAAATGCACCATTCCAATGTCTAAGAGAAAAAAATGTAATGAATATTTTTTTAATGTATGACCACTGTACAGAAGACTGCCATATGATAGAAATATTTACACTGTGCGCATACAATTATTATTATTTTCCTAATCCTTGACTGATCATTTTTAATCTGGCGTGTATTATAGTATAGATTAAATTCATTATCCAGCTGCTGCTCTGCAGAATTCTCTCCCCAAGGAGCGAAAAATCACGCCATCTAGCGGAAAATCACGCGGCTTTTTCAAATCACGCGAGAATATGTACAAAACAACAAAAATAGCGTCGGCAACGCTTGTGGGTCGTTTTCAACGAATGTTGGTGATTTTAAAGTAATTTTGAGGGACAAATAATTTTTTTTGCGATCATTGCACTTGCCCGGCGGGCAAACGCAATGAAATTTGTACTCTCCCGACAATAAAAACTACTTGCCCCGGGCGATCGGGCAATGGTTAACATCGAGCCCTGATACATAATGCTGCCACTACCATGTGTCACTGAGACACATGGTAGTGGGAGCCTAAAACTGGTGTTTTAGGGTAATGGAAAATGCTATTTCTTTCTGCTAAGTAAAGGCCTCAAAAATGTTTTTTTTCCTCATTTGACCAGCTTGTTCCACATGTTTACTGTGTCCCTTCTATGACTTGTGATAAACTTTAAATGGGACTTCTTATGAGTTTCTGATTTTCTTGAGCTTTCTTTCCAGTGTTCCATGGAAGCCAGATGTGTGGAGTGAACGAATAATCTCTGCAGGTCCTCCAGAGTTAGCATTGGCCTCTGGGCTACTTCTCTGAATAATGTTCTGCTTTTAGTCAACTTCAGTTTAAAATACACCCAGATGGACTAATCAGTCTCTGTTAGGTGACTTATTAAGGCACAGCTTGTGTTTGTAATGTGAAAAGATTAGAGCGGTATGATTGTTTTTGCAACAAACTGACGTTGCCCTCGAAAACTGTCAAAGACTCAGGCAAATAATCTTCATGATGAGACTAGAATGAGCCTTTGTGTTTTGGGGCTCAATCACCATATAAGGACTATGTGGGTTTTTTCTTTCCTGTTTCATCGTCCTGTGCAGTTTCTGAAACAAGCCCACAAATGTATGTCACGCCGTGGATTCTCGGCAGGATTGACAGAAATTGAGCAGATCCCAGAGAGGCTACAGATGGAGCAATTGACACAGAGGGGCTATAACAAAAGAAAACAGTAATTGTTTGGATAAGTTTGGAAAGAATTCCTCCTCAAATTCCTAAGTTTTTTATTACTTATTTAGGTCCCTAAAATAGAGGAGTAAAATCTCAGGAAGTCTTTGAGTTAATAGATTTTGTAGAAACCTCCTAATATTACAAATGGACGTCTATGCACTAATAAGGATTTTTCTCAAGAATTCACTGAGATCTGATATGCCTATTGAGATTTGCTCATAAATAAGGACTATGGGGCAAAAAAACCCAAAATAATTTCTTAATAAAGGCAGTAGTTGTTAATTACAGAGATAATAAAGAAAAGTGAATATTATCTACACTATAAAATTTACCCCCATTTTTCTCTGACTTTTTTAAGCACTGTGTGGTAAAAAAAAACCTAATACAAATTAAAAAAAACATGAAAGCAACTGATTAACTTATATGGACTGTAAATGGTTAGTGCTGTCAGTTCTAATAGATTTAATGGGAAGTAGGGAATTTCTGTTCTTTCAGAATTTGTCCTGCTGATCAAAAAGAGATTGGATTAAAGGTAAATCGCTCCAGTTTTTGGCCATGAATAAAAAAAGAACATAAAATCTATAAAAAAGAGACTTAAATACAGGAATAAACATACTTCTATGAACAGTTTAAGTTGCATACTTATTTCAGCTCCTAGTGCAGTGTAAAGACTTTATCCTTCCACCTAGCTTTCCAATTATGCATCTAGATTCAGCATTTGTCCAGGGATGGTCTGCTGGGCAACTGTCAAATCAACATTCTTCTCTGATGATTATGTAGACCACTAACTAATATATTCCCTGCATTAAAACCATTATTTTTCTGACATTGCAAAGAAACTTTCAGTCCTCTGTATTGAATATATGGCCTCTAACTTTCATCACTTCAATGCAATTACTAAAAGCACAGTGCTGATTTGTTGGGATATAACTGTTTTCTATCTTTGCTGGTCTCACAGGCCACCATTTCATAGCTCTCAGGCATTGTTCTCATATTTTAATTTTCCGCAAATTTAATTAACTGACTGTTTATTTTAGTTCTCAGATTATAGTATAATCAGTGGTTAGGGGCAGGCTGTGTTATTGCAAATTAATATTAAATGCGTTTCAGCATATCAGGGCATAATAGAGAGCTTTGTCAGATGTGACCTGCTGCACTTACCTATAGGTAAGGCCAGGAAGAAAGGCAGCCAGCACAGGACGAACATTCCCACCACAACTCCCAGAGTTTTAGCTGCCTTCTTTTCTCGGGAAAATTTGAGCAGCTTCACAGTGAGGGAACTCCTGGCCTGGTGCGCACGGCCTTTCCCGGCGCCTGGCGCGCCGGGGTCCTCATGCACCTGAGAGCCCTTGTGGATCCTGAGGGTCAGCTCGTTGGTGTCCATCCTCTCCCGCATCACGCCCGCCTCCAAGTTCTTGGTGGTCCTTTTGGCAACGATGTAGACGCGGCAGTACATGGCCAGGATCACGGCGAGCGGGATGTAGAAGGAGCCGAGGGAGGAGAAGAGTGCGTAAAACGGCTCCTCTGTAATGAGGCACACCGTGTCGTCCGGCGCCGGCGGCTGCTTCCAACCGAAAAGAGGTCCGATGGAGATGACCACCGACAGCACCCAAACCCCCAGCATTGCCAACAGAGCCCGCTTCTCCGTCACTATACCTGGATACTGCAGCGGGTGGCTCACTCCGATGTAGCGGTCGATGGATATTACGCACAGGCTCATGATGGACGCTGTGCAACACAGTACGTCCAGCGCGGCCCATATATCGCAGAAAATTCGGCCGAACACCCAGTAGTCCAGGATCTCCAGGGTGGCGGACACCGGCAGCACCGTGGTGCCCAGCAGCAGGTCGGCCATGGCCAGGTTGAGGATGAAGTAGTTGGTCGGAGTCCGCAGGTGCCTGTTGCACACCACGGACAGAATGACTAGGATGTTGCCCACGATGGCAAACACGATGAAAGCCCCGAGCACCAAGCCGAGCAGGACGGCGCGGATGAGGTCCAGCTCGCCTGGCCCGGTGTGGTTCCTCCCGGAGCTGTTGGTGAAGTTGACCTGCATAGACTCCCACTCGAGTTCCGAGGAACCATTTTTCCAAAACTTTGTTACATCGTCAGTGCTCAAACTCATTTTGACTCACGGCTTGCTCCATAGCAGGCTTTCTATCACAATAACTGATGTGTCTGACTGCGCGCAAAGTCTCCAACCCAACTTATGTACGCGCGGGTCTTGTAAGAAGCGCCGATCCATGTGTCCGCATCAGTCCATTGTTTAGCGGAGCTGTGCCCACACAGTCCCTTTGCCTCTACACTAATGAGGCTCAGTGGAGAAGTGAGGGTGGTTGCAGTCATCTCCTGTCTCCTGACCAAACATACCCAAAACAAACCAACAGAGTGCGCACGGCGCAAAAGGAGACGCGACTCTTTTAAAGGGTATCATGTATAACAATTAAACAAATCCTTGTCTAGCAGTGCATACTTTTGCAATATTTGTAGATTTATTTATTTATAGTTTTTTTTTTTGTTGTTCTACCTACTTAATTTTGCCGCAGGGCTTGAAAAAATTAACCACTTTTATATCTGTAGTGACTGATGAACGCCCTTTTCCCCATCAGTGGAGGTTGCCTAATTAAACAAATAAAGTGATATGCAAAAGGATCATCAACCGCCTACACTTTATTTCTTTAGTCGCCCCCATTTAGGGAGCTTTTGTTTCATCTCTTAAACAATGATTCAGAAAGCAATCCAGAATCAGGTCTGATGAATGGAGTAGTGCGTTTAACATTAAACATTCCCTTGGTTTAAAAATTTAAAAGATATTGAAAACTGTCTTTAGGGAGAGGTTAAAAAAGATGTAACGCTCTGGGGTGTGCTGACAGAATTGACAATGACTCCTGAATAGGTGCTGCAAAGTAGTTTTTGAAGATGAAGAACATTTCATATATAAAGGTTTATAGCGCCTGCAAATGTATTAATGTCATTTTTACATTTTGATGCAAATAATTTGGGGGTAGGACTCTGTAAGATTTCTCTTCTAGCTTCATTAACCTCATCAACTCTGTCCAGACTCTCTGTTCTGCTGAGGATAAGTATCCCCACAGCATGATGCAGCCATTGCCACCTTTAACTGTGGGGATGTGCAGGGTTACTCCCCCCTACAGTACATTTTTCATAGCATACATCTTGAAATTTCGATCTCATCAGACCAAAGCTATGTCTTGCACATGTTCATTGTGTCTGATACTTTGTTTTGGGAATTAGATTTTTTTTTTTTTCAATAATTCAAACAGAGCCTAATAGTAACAGGGGCAAACTATGCTGGGTCTGTTAGTTTGATATGCTCTAAAAAACAGGCAAGAATGTCTCATATCACATGCCTGTCCTATCATATATTAGAGGAGTGGCGCCTAATTGTTAGGGCATAGAGCTTGGAATCCTGAGGTTGTGAGTTTGAAACCCACTTCCACGGACGGTTATGATGGGTTAAATGAAGAAGTAAATTTCTCCAATGTGAGATCAATAAAATTCAATTATTATTCTTTGTGTAAGCTCCTGCACAAAATGGAAACATAATCAGAATTGCGTTTAATGCATTAGAGAGATGATAGTTTAACTATTCATGCGCCATAAAAATGTACAAATTTTATCCTTAGATGCAAAATGGTACTGCTTGTAAAAGTTAAGTAATTTTCTTTCTCCCTCTTTCTTTCCTTGTTTCTTTCTATAAAAAAATGGAAATATTGGAGAAAAACTGAGGGAATGATGTAAACTCTTCAAATTCAAAGGGGGTGTACTTCTTTTTTTCTTACAGTAGGACTGACTGTAATTTCTCACAAGCTTAGAGGAGAATTTAATACTAAATAAAATCATTATTTGGTAATGAACAGTATAGATTGATCTAGTGCCGTCTACTGTAAATGTCCCAGGCATTATTTTGACAGTTTATTGGGTCTTGCTTTTGTGTCAAAAAATGCTTGTTTGGTTCTCTTAAAAAAAGGGTTACTGCATCTTTATTATCTTTATTTAAACATGGGAAGACTTAATTAGAGTAAATTTTTTTTTCCATTAGGGACTTGTGTGTGTGACCAGCAGAGGGGGTAGATCTTTTAGGCAAGACGCACCAGAGCATGGACCAGTCTCCAATGATTTATTAACCAATTTCATTAAAACATTTTTCTTTTAAAACATGGCCTCGGGCCCACTACTCAGCCCCTAGAAGGAAAAGGCATCAAAATAAGGACAATTTAAATTATTCCCAAAAAATGAATGAACAAACAAATCATGCAATGCAAAAGAAAACAAATTAGTAAATCAAAACAAAGGAAAGCAAACAAATTAGTAATTTAAATAATAAGCAAACAAACGGCAAAGAAAAAAACACAACCACTGCAAACGATGGGACAAACTGTCGTCGTCCGACTTCTAATGTCTTTTCACGGGGCCAGAGGAGTCGTGCCCCGCTCGTTCCGCCAGCCCAAGCGTCAGCAGGCTCCGCCGAGAGCGGACCAAACAAAACCAGCAGGACAAGACAAGACAGCAGGAGCGTCCCAGCGCTGCAACTCCGGAAGAATCCTAAATTAGAAAACTCGTTAACGGTGGATTCAGGTAAGAATAAATTAAATTCTAAACCGGTAGCTTACCCAGATGTGGTGACACAGCCGACCAGGGAGGGAGCGGATCAGCAGGCGAGGGCCGGATGGAAGCCGCTCGCCGCACCAACCTCCAACTGCAGCCGCCAACGCCAGCTGCGCAACGCTGCAGAAACGCACGGCAGGTATTGCACCAGAACCCGACAACAATCCCCAGCCCAGATGGCAAAATGGCACTTACTATTTTGGATGAGTGGATCGAGCACACCAGCCACTTGGGCAGCCTACATACAGTAAGGAAACAAAGCACATGCACCTCGCAGCGGACTGCTCAGCTTTAAAGCTATCTGCCCCGCCCACCAATCAGTCACTACACCTGGTGTGTGTAGTTGGGAGGGTGGAACACCATCCCACCACATGTGGCAGAAGAAATAATTAAATCAACCACAACAATAATAAAAGGAAATAAAACTGAATAGATTCCAATCAGATTTTTGCTTCTGGCTTAGATGTGACCTTACAAAGGTAGACTTGTGTGTTTTGTGTGGTTTGTTGTATATATATATATAAATGTATCTGGAGCATGTAATAAAAGTAATTTCCCTCTGGGATTATTAAAGTATGTCTGATTCTGAATTGAAATAAGCAGCTCTACTCTGGGGAATTCTTAAGTAGAAAAACAAAATGAATGTATGAGCAAACTTATAATAACAGATCATGCAAGTTAAATAGCCTATCCATCTTTTTGGTAGGCTATATATTTTGCGATATTTGTTGAAAAAAAAAGAATCTCTAAAGATCCAACATAAATGTTATCCTATTATTAGTGAAATATTTAGATATACACCAAAATAGACCCATTGTGTTCATCTAGCCATAAATTTGAGGAAACCATCACTCATCTATTCTGGTACTGCTCTTATACCCAAAAAGATACAGTTTTGTTCATTAAATTTTTATTAAAGTGTATTTTATGTTTTTTTTTGTTTCAACACCCTAAATAAGAAAGACTTTGCCATAAACTAAATATTACCAACATTTTACAACCATGACTTTGTTTTCCAGGCTAAAGCCCAGATAAAATATTTTCTTTCTTTCCCTATGTATTTTCTTTTGATAAAATATTGTACCAGTTAAAACCCCCTAAAGTCTATATTGCATTGTATTTAATTATGTAGGGAAATCTGTTGAAATATTTGTACTCTTGCCTGCCTTAACCCTTGACATACCTTCATATTTTTAGCTTTGAAATTTGGCGCACATGTTTGGTAATAATAATAAAAAAAAAAAAGAAAGAAAAAAAAGCTACATCCTGGGGAGCTGCTTTCTGCCGACTCACAGTGGTTTGCTTAGGGACTGACAGTATTTAATAGATTTCTTTTAATTAATAACAAAATACATAAATGTTTTTCCTCATAATAGAAGCAGAAGTAATAGTGTTTCTAAAATGCAGTTAATTCATTGAAACTGAATAAATACAAGTCTGCACTATTTCTACTCTAGTATTATGATAAGACATGATTTTATTGTTACTCAGTCACATGACCTAAGAGCTCTTGGATAAAACTTTATTTTAAAGGAAAGAAAAAAAAAGCAAGACAAACAAGGTTTGTGCCTCATCTTTCTAGACTAAAACACAGATTTGGCATACGTTTATTGTCAGTGGGTCACAAGACATGAAAGTTATTAATTGTTGTTGATCAAGAATGTTTGGATTGGACCTATAAAGGTCTCTATTTGCATGTGTCATACACAGTAAACTTGGATCAGACTGATTGTAAATAGCACTAACATCTAATCTTTTCTCTGCAGACATATTCGTTCATTTCTATGGGGAGGTCTGTGCTGTGCTATATGAGGTCAGGCAAAGGCGTGTAGCTGCAAGTTGCCTATGTAAATGGTAGGAAGCATCCTTTTCCTAACTCATTCCCTACTAAGAGCACTATTTGGATGGTGATTATCGTGGCAAAGGCGAAGGCATATCCGCTTTAGCATAGTAAGTCTAAATAATGTTAAAATTTGAGTCATGAAAACAGGTTTTAAAGATAGTTTTAAAAGATGTCAAAAAGGAACCTCTCTGGGTAGGTTATTCTACAACTGAGGAGCAAACACAGAGAAGGCTCTGTCCCCTCTGAGTCTTCTTTAAGACAAAGGTATCTGCAGAAGCCACTGTTCAGCCAATTTGAGGCACTGGAAAGGATAGTAGGGATGAAGCAGCTCAGAGAAGTAGGGCTAGGCCTGGTCATTTAAACACTTAAAAACCAAAAATGAAAAAATTCTGCAGCCAAGATAGCAAAGACTGACTCACTCCAACAAAGAATGCATTGGTAAAGACTCATTGGCCATTCTTTGTCTCTAATTTAACTAACTACATGATTTCAGGTGATGCAAAGATCTCAACACATCTTGGTCACTAACCGGTCTTCTTAATGGACCATCTCTTTATGCATGCAGCTAACGCACATTTTTCAAATGGTAACACAGAGAACCGTATGACACAAACCAAACTTTTATGCTCTAAACAGAGATATGATGCCAAGATTTCCAGCAGAAAACCATCATATGCAGGTGAGGAAAATGCAAACTCCCAATAGGCCCCAGCTGAGAATAAAACCAGAAACCTGCTGTTAGATTTTCTAATATTTCAAAAAAGAAAAGGATTTATAGAGACCACCCGACTGAGACACACAGGTTTTTGTAATATGGAAAAAATGATCAACCATCAGCGTGAGTTACATACTGCCAAATACAAAATCCCTTAAGACGCAG